GAAGCCCTCCAGGACCACCCGACTGAAGCCACAGCGCCCACCAGCAGCCCCAGCTTCTCCTTGAGCAGTGTCCTCTGGCCGGAACACAGCTTTAGAACTGGTGGACTTCCGTGAAAGAAATACTGTCCTAGGGGACTGTCCCCCAAAGGACAAAGGAAACATCTTGAGTCCAAATGGATACAAATAAACGATTGCATGAGTGACTAAACAAGGGAAAGGGGAGGGGACCCGGAATCTTCAAACTTGGGTCTGGATGCTTCCCCCTCCCCTCCACGTGGGCCTTGCTCAGTGACGTGGGCACCGACTGGAAAGGGGGAGGGGTCGTCGTGGACTGGGTGATGGAGGGCGGTATCAGCGGTCAGTCACCTGGATACGCGAGCACCCCACCCCCGCCCCCACCAATGATTCTCCAAACGGAAGCCAGAGGGAATCTGTTAAAGCAGGAGACGGGGCTCCAGTACGCAGGAGTGTGTATTTCTAAAACCATCTCAACTGATACGATGTGGGGTGTATGCCTTTCGCTGTAGTGAAAATTTACCAGGGACAAGAAGCCTAAATAAATATTTGGTATCTTGTTACGATATGCGTGCTGAAGTGTTCGGGGGTGATGTGACCTCATATTAGCAAATTGCGTTGAAATGAATTTTTTTCAAAGATGGATACACGGGAACTGTCTGCAATTTCCACCCGATCTTTCTGTGAAAGTAAAACTGCTCAAAAAAGAAAGTTTATTAAATTTTTGAAAGATGAGGGGTGGATAGGCCGATGGGCAGGTACCTTTCAGGATAGAGGGTAGCCAGGTCCATCGGGAACAAACAGAGCAAAACGCTCGCTGCAGACTCTGGGGGCTGAGGACATGCGTTTAGTCTCCAATTCTTTCCTTCCGCCACGTGTTGTGAGATTCCCAGACCGGGCTGGCTCAGTCGTGGAGCGTGGCACTCTTGATCTCGGGTCCTCAGTTTGAGCCCCATGTACAGTTTATTTAAAAAAAATTTTTTTCGGGGCACCTGGGTGGCTCAGTGGGTTAAGCCTCTGCCTTCGGCTCAGGTCATGATCTCAGGGTCCTGGGATCGAGCTCTGCATCAGTCTCTGCTCAGCGGGGAGCCTGCTTCCCTCTCTCTCTGCCTGCCTCTGCCTACTTGTGATCTCTCTCTCTCTCTCTGTCAAATAAATAAATAAAATTTAAAAAAATTTTTTTCGGGGTGTGGGCAGGGGTTTGTGTTCATTTCTTTGGCCAGCGGGAGATCGGCGCCTGCGGCACTGCCCAGCACATCGCGAGGCTCAATAAATAGTTGTGGAATCAGTGTTCTTAGTCTGTTTGTCTCTGTGTCTCCAGCCAAAATGAAATCTTGTCTCTTTGTCCTCTGATGTTCTCCCGTCTAGCGTAGCGCCTTGCACAAAGCCAAGGGCTCAACAGTCTTAGGACAAATGAATGAATGAGTAACACGGGAAGAAAGAATCTCTGTTTAGGGTTAAGAGCACAGGCGCTGGAGTCACAATGCCTGGACACACAGCCACATGTGCTCCTTAACCAGCCAGGAGACCTCGGGCATGTCAGCTCACGGCGTCATCTTCCTCCTCCCGAAAACTGAGACCCCACGGGGAACCCACAGCCTCACCTGTTCCTGATGGGGCTGGAGATGGTGCAGCCACTTTGGGAAAGAGTCTGGCAGTTCCTTATAAAGTGTATCATGAGCTTCTCACACAGCCTACCCGAGCATCGGCCCAAGAGGGTCAAATCCACGTCCCCGTGCGTGTTCACAGCAGCACCGCCGACAGCAGCCGAAGAGTGGACCCCGCCCAGACGTGCACCCACAGATGAGCGGGTAAACACAGCGCGGTCTCTCCGTACAGTGGAACGTTGCTCGGGCCATAAAAAGGGACAAAGTGCTCCTAAAACTCACAATACGGATGAGCCTTAACAGCACGTGGAGCGAAGGAAGCCGGACGCAGAGGGCGACATAGGAGGGCGGCATATTGGATGATGCATTTTTAGGAACTGTCCAGAGGAGGCAAATCTGTCGAGACAGAAAGTACCTCGGTGGTTGCCGGGAGAGCCGGGGGAGCGCGGATGGGAAGCAACGATTAATGGGCACAGGAGATCTTGGGAGCGGACATGTCCTAACATTTCATTTGGGGGGGGTAGTTGCACAGTCCTATAAAGTCACTGAAAAGCACTAAGTGCCCTTGAAATGAGTGGGTTCCATGGTATGCAAATGATATCTGATGGTCTTTGCGACGGACAAACGGAGCCGGTGACAGTGTCTCTTGTATTGACCTTGTCGTGAAGAGTGGGGAAGCGAACCCACCTGATCCCTGTGCAAGGCGCGGCAGGCTCAGGACTCCGAAAATGTGTGTGATGTGATTCTGAGCACTTGGTTGAGGTCACATAGTTGAAATGCTCGGCACAGGGCAAGCCAAGCCACAGGGTTTGATTCGTGGACACCAGCTTTTTGCTTCACAATAATAGCAACCGTTGGGGTGTTTTATCATGTTTTGGGTCTGTCCCTCACGTCTAGGACTCAGTCTTCTCGTCTGCAAGACGGGAGAACTGGGCTTCGTCCGTAGGGACCTTTTCTCACTCTAAGTCCGTGTTTTGTTCTAGGAACATTTCTCTCTGGAGGCAGGAGATCCTCGAGGCAGAGTAAGCCGGAGGGGAGGGGGCAGGTCGGGGGAAAGCCGAGGGGGTTGGACCGTGGTGCCTCGGGGCTTGGCAACAGGGATGCAGGTAAGGAGGGGCTCACCCTAAGTCTTAGATGGGCCTGGCTAAGGGTATGCGGGCTATGCTGTTGGTCCAGCCTGGGTTCCAATCCCACGTCGCCAGTTCCCAGCTATGAGATTTTGGTCAAGGGACTCCCTCTCCGAGTGTTGTCTTGCCCTTAGGAAGTGGTGAGGATATTTCCTAACCCCAGTGGGGTGGCGAGGATTCCCTGAGATCAGGTTTACACCAGCCTGGGAAAATGATCGTAACAAAGCAGCAACGGCAATGGCTCCCTCGCAGGGGCAGCCGCTGTTTTCAGCCCTCTCCACGAAGGACCCCGTTGAAGACAAAGAGCTCAGTTCATGGTAGTGATTTCCAAAGTAGGACAAATGACTTAACTTTAGCCCTGTTGGCCCTTCTGTAAATCGGGCCATGTAATCCCCTCCCTCAATGAGTTTAATCAGTGAGGTTGTGCTGAAAAGGTGTCTGGCCACGGTAGGTGCTCACTAAATGGGGGCCCATGTTTGGATATGGTAATAGGGAGCCACGGAAGGTTCCTGGGGATGGAGGTAGCTCTGATGTCAAGGAAGCACACCCCACCTCCCCAGCTCCCCACGTCTGGGGCTGTTACAGGCTCTAGTTTGTGGGAGAACTGGTCTCTTTTGGAAACTTTATTTGTGCCAATATTTGATCATTGTCCACGTCCTCTGCTGGCCTGTAAGCTCCATGAGGGCTGGTCCCCAGGTGGTCTCCCTCGTCACTCTGTCCCCCACTTCAAGCCCTGATGCGGGGATAACGAAACAGGCTAATGTGGATTGAGTGCTTACTACCTGCCAGGCACAGCGCCAAGGCCTCAGCCAAGGTGTGTTGAATCCCTGATGGGGATCTCTGCAAACTCTGGACAGTCCACCATCCCCCTTCCTACACCTTCAACCTCCATGTCTCTGGCTTCCTTCCCCGGGTCCGGCCCCTGCCCAGTGTTTTCATCACATCGGGGAACCACCTTCCCTCCCAAAGCCTCTGTGTGCTGCCCTGGAAAACTGGGATGACCTCACCCCTCTACAGGCCTGACAGGCATGAAAACACCCAAGTGGTTGGCATGAACCTTTGCACAGGAAAAAGGGAGCCACTGAAGGCTCTGGGGGAAGGACGGATAACAACAGAAGGAGGGGGGGCGGTTTAAAGAGATGGCTTGAACACATCTCTCCCTCTCCACTCCCTAAGACCTGAATAGATGAGCGAGGGAAAAAAAAAATTAGAAGGTGTGCAGAAAATGACCCTTTCCACCTACCCCTGATTTCTTGTGGTTTCTCCAACATGCAGCACCAACCCACCTCACGGCCTTTGACCCTACTCTGCCCTCCACCCCTCTTGGTTCAGGTCAAAGGTCACCCAAAGGCCCTCCCTCCCAGCCAGGCAGTGTTCTCAGTAGCCCTAATTAATACCTGGTGGTCTGTTCAGATGGCTCATTATCTAGGGCAGCCCTGTCCAAGAGAACTTCTTGCAGTAATGGGATGTTCTCGATCTGTGCTGTCCGGGGTAGCCACCAGCCTCATGGGGCTCTTGGCCCCTGGAAACTGTGTGACTGAGAAACTGAACGTTTTTCATTATTTTATTTTAAATGGATTTACTCATTCTAAGTCTAAATGGAAGCAGCCACGCATGGCTAAACTCGTGTGGATCTAGAATTCCGGCTCCTGGGGGGGCCGTGGCTGTCTCCTCTCCAGCATCCCCAGGACCCCGCGCTGTGCCTGGTAAATGCCTGCTGAAAGCATGCACGCGGGGATCGCACAGGGGGCCACGGGGCTCCCCAAAGATGCCGGGACGGGCGGTAACCAGCGTTGTCACACTCCCGATTCTTCTCTTGAGTTTCTTGCAAGCCGAGCACCTGCCTCCCGTCCTCTGATGTGGGGATCTGGACCCTTCCTGCCTGGAACGCAAGCTCAGGGCCTGTTGGGACGGATTCCGGCTCACCCTAGACCTCCTCAGCAGCCCCCACAGACAGCCTCACTCTCTCCTATTTCACGAACTCACATTTATTCACAGACAGACAAAAGGACAGGGATGGACCTTTGCTCACTGGGGACCCCCAGGGTCTGGCAGTTCCAAAGAGGTGACGGTGTCCAGTGTGTGTAATGGGAGACAGCCAGGCAGGGGGTCCCCCCCAAGTCTGCATCTCTCTGGCCAATATTCTCTGCCTCCTTTTCCAACTCGTCCTGCCTTCTGAGGCCTGTTGGGGCAAGCAGTTCCTAGCCAGCGTCGGGGTCTCCCGGGGGTGGGCGATGGGAGGGAGGGGCGGTCCAGGGCCCCCGCTTAGTGTTGAGGGCTGGAAGGGGAAGGGTGGGTAGACAGGAGGCGCCTCTACTTCGACTTCCTTCCTCCATATTGCAAACCGAGAGCCAAATGGAGGGGCGAGGAGTGGTGGTGAAGGTCAGGAGGCCAAGCCTCCCAAGCCCCGAAGGTGGGCCTTGCTGTCAATTTCTTCTTCCTCCATCTCGAAGGCTGAGTGGTCTTGGCTGTCAAAACAGGAGGCGCTGAGGAAGACAGGGGGAGCAGGCGGCGGTGGCAGCGGCGACTGGGGTGGGGTCCCCGGGGAGGGTGGCTCTTCCTTGATGTGTGCAATGGGCAGCGGGAGCCCTTCCTCCTCCTGCCCAGCTGGTGGAGGCGGCGGGGGCGGCGGGGGCGACGGCGGGGCCTGGGCCTGGAGCGCCTGCAACGCGGCCGCCCTCTCCAGCTCGGCCCGGTGGCAGCGCTGGTGGCGCAGGAGGCTGTAGGCGCGCGAGAAGCGGCGCGGGCAGCGCGGGCACGGGTGCGGGGCCGGGCCTCCCGCGTGCACCTGCGCGTGGCGGGCCAGGTCGGCCAGACGCTTGAACTCCCTCTGGCAGCGCACGCACTGGAAGGGGCGCGCCCCTGAGTGGGTCACCCCGTGCTGCCGCAGGTGCGCGCGGCGCCGGAAGCCTTTGCCGCACTCGGGACACCAGAAGCGGGGCTCCCCCGCAGGGGGCCGGGCGGGGGCGGCGTCCCCTCCGTTCTGCCCGCCTTCTCCCCCCTCCGAGGCACTCCCGCACTCTGCCCCTTCGCCCCCCTCGGGCCCCTTCCCTGAGTTCCGTCCACCCGGGGCCTTGTCGTCCTTCTTGCCCGCCGGGGGCAGCGGGGCCAGGAGGCTGAGCGCGCCGTGCACACGGCGGTGCTGGCGGAGGTAGGAGGCGAGGCGGAAGGCCAGGCCGCAGTCTGGGCACACGAATGGGCGGTCGGTGGAGTGGACCAGCCGGTGGCGGGACAGCGACCAGGGCCTGGCGAAGGCCTTGAGGCAGATGGAGCACTGGTGGCGCTTGGGCCGGGGAGGGGGGCCCCCTTCACCCTCCTGTTCACCCTCAGGGCGCAGACACGGGTGCGCTTTGAGCTCGCCCTTGGTGGCGAAGGCTTCGCGACAGCGGAGGCACAGCAGCGTCCAGTCGGCCTGGAGCAGGACCTGCTTCTCCTCCTGCCGCCCGGCCGCCAGTGCCAACTCGGCCCTCAGCTCCGCCGCCCCGGCCTCGGCCTCCTCCTCCTCCGACTCCCGGGGTTCGGCGCTCGTGGGGGCAGCCAGCGTGGCCGGCTCCCCTGCGGGCCACGTCTCGGGCCACGCGGCCTCTTCCTCCGCGGCCCCCGCTGCGGCGGTGGTGGGCTGCTCCGCACTGGCGTCCTGGGAGCCCCAGCTCGACTCCGCAGCCTCCTTGGCCGCCCTCTCGATGGCCAGCTCGACCTCGCCGCCTGCGTGCTCCTGGGCCAGGTGGCGCCGGAGCTGCGCTGGCTCCGGGAAGGTGCGGGGGCAGGCGGCGCAGCGCAGCGGGGGTTGGGGCCCGTGGCCACGCAGGTGGCGGGAGAGGTGGGCGGGCCGGCGGAAGGCCTTGGGGCACAGGGGGCAGGCGTGGGGTCGGAGGCCTGAGTGGCTCAGCCGGTGCCGGGAGAGGTAGTAGGGGAAGCGGAAGAGGCGGCCACATGTCGGGCAGGGCAGGGGCGCCCGAGGGGCTCCAGCGCCCCCCCTGCCACGGCCCCGGCCTCTACCACGGCCCCGGCCACGGCCCCGACCACGGCCACGGTGAGGTGGGCTGCCCTGGGCGGGTGGAGGGGGCTGCGGATCCATGCCTGTGAGGAGAAAGGGGAGACAAGGAGACATTGGGGTGGGTGGGGGCGTGGAGTGGGTCAGATAAAGGGAGATGTGTGGAGTGAGGCCGAGAGGCAGAGACAGAGAGAAATGGAGAGTCCATGATGGTCAGATGATTAACCAGGCAACGGAGAGAGCCAGCAAGACAGAGCAAAGGCAGAGACCCCAGGGACAGACAGACAGCAGGAGAAGCCGTAAAGGCAGGATGGTGGGAGACAGCAGGAGAGAGAGATGGGGACTCCCAGCAGAGACAGAGATGGAGAGAAAACAAAGAGATTTCGGGAGAGATGGTGCAAACACCAGAGATCAGAAGAACCACAGCAGGACAGAGGTAGGGACAGACAGACAGACAGAGAGAGGGGACAAGCCAGAGATACAGACAGAAGAGGAGACAAGGAGACAGTCAGCCAACTGCTTTTTCTCCAGGGGCCCCGCTGGAGAATTTTGGGAGGGGCTGGGAACCAGCCAGTGGTGCCCGAGTGGAGGGTGTGGAATTCGACATTGGGAAGCCCCGGAAATGGAAATGCGTGTGGGTGCCCAGACCAGGGTCTGGGAGAGGCTGGGGGTAGGAGCGCTCAGACTCCTGGGCAGGGGGGAGGCTGGGGCCCTGGACTCCAGGGACTGAGAGAGGTGGGAGCTGGGGTTTGGGACCCCAGGTTTGGGAGGTGACTGGGATCCACTCCTGTAGGTGTGGAGTAAGGATTCCTAGGTCCCAGGGGCAGAGAGGATTGGGGGAGGGGGCTGGGCTCCTAAGACAAGGGGGAGGGGGCTGGGGGCTCAGCTGCCCGAAGTCTCCACGGAGGAGGGGGCTGAGGGCCCGGCTGCTGGACGCCTGTCCCCCACCCAGGCTGCTGGAGTCCGGAGCCCTAGGTCCCCACGGGGGGCCGAGCTCCCCACTGGGCCCAGCCTGAGGTTTCTCGCCGGCGTGATCAGCAGAATTAGGGCCGACGGTCGAGGCCTCTCGGATTTCCAAGCCCAGAGCCTGTGGCTCGGCCCTGATCGCTGGGCGCCTGGGTCTTACCTCCGCCTCCTTCGCTCCTTTCTTCCTTCCCCGAGGCCGGCCAAACGCTGACGGTGGTGGCGGGGAGGGAGGGAGGGCCCGAGCGTGGTGGGGGGGTGGAGGAGGCTGGGCTCGGTGTCACTGCCTAAGCCTTCCCCCCGGAAACCCGGCCTCTCGACCGAGCCCAAAAGAGGAAAGACCGGCTGGAAGGCCGGAAGCAGGAGGACGAGGGGACCCAGGGGGCGGGGAGGGCGGTCAGCTTGGATTCCTGGGTTCTGCAAGGGGAGGGGGCTGCGGGCCTGGGAGGCTGGACGGAGCTCCCCTCCCCACCCCAGCAGACACACATATTCATTCATTCCTTCAACAAATACACATTTATCAGGTCCTGTCTGTGCCAGGCACTGTGTTGGGCGAGGGGGGTGCCAGGGGAAGGAGTCATGAATGAGGCAGTGGCAGAGGCCTCAGGCAAAGTAGGGGCGCTCTGGACTGGAACCCCTGTCCAGCCTTCTCTCGGCGGCCTGAGCAAGCGACTGTCGCTTCTCCTAGCCTCAGTGGCCCCCTCTACAAGCCCAGCAGATACACATTCGCTCCTAAGAGACCCACATGTACTGAGCACCCAGGGTGCTCCTGAGTCCTTCTGCATGTGTTTCCCGGCATAGCTCCCTGGATCCCAAGCCGCCAGTATTTCCTGAGCACCTACTGTGGGCTAGCTCTGTCCTTGGTGCTGGAGCTGCAGCGGCAGACTGACAGGGGCTATCAGACCCTGTCTGCAGGAAGCTCACCTTCAGAGGGAGGAGGCATTCACAGATCCGACCGCCTTCCTGGAAAACGTGCCTTAAGGCAATAAAGAGGATTGGGTGGGAAGACAGAGAACAGAGAAGGCATTGAGCTGACCTCCCCCTGGGGTGAGAGCAATCCTCAAGGTCTTCCAGGAGGCAACAGTGTTTCAGCTGAAACCTGCAGGATGAAAGCCAAGGGTTGGGGATGAGAAGGATGAGCCAAAGGAAAGGAGAGACGTGCTCGACACATCTCAAATGCCCAAAACCAAGCAGCCGAGGGCTTGTTGCAGAGATAGGCCTGCAGCCTGTCACTGTTTAAGGTAAAGTACATGCTAAGCACTGTTGGCCAGAGCGTGGGAAACAGGACCTCTCTGAACATGGCTGGGCTAGTGAAATTTGGAACAGCCTTAACACCTGAACAATTCCAGGAACGTGACTGCCAGATAGATCTGCTCAGAAACATGCAAAATGACATCGGTACCAGGTGAATCAGCACCAGATGATTGCACACCACTGCAAAAGACTGGAGATGAGCTAAATTCACATCCGGAGGGAATTCGAGTGGCATTGTGATTGATCTGCCCAGTGGAATGCTATGTGTCTAAAAAAAAAAAAAAAAAAAAGATGAAGAAACTTGCTGTATAAAAAAATATGGAAGCGCTCCAAGTGATAACATGAAGGGAAGGGGGGGACGGAAAGGAAGGTAGAAAACAGCCTGGAACCTGTTCTAACTGTCTGTGCTTATCAGTGGGCTGTGTCTGGAAGAAGAGGGAGGAAACTAGCAACATTGTCTAACTCCCAGAACTGAAATTTACGGCACTCTATCCTTTTGTACTTCTTAAATTTGAAGCCATGTTCCATACTCCAGAAAGTAAAGGGACAAGAAATCAAATGGGGGGAAAGGGTAATAAAAATAAATAAAATGAAAATAAGCAGTAACTTAGTCTTGCAAGCGCTTTACAAATACTAACGCGTTTGTCTCTCCTTTTATGGAGTGGGTCACGCTATTCTCAGTTTAAACGCAGCAAAGTGGGGAACTAAAACATGTCGAAGCTGGTGCGTCTCAGTGAGTCTTTGCATTTCACAAAGAGATGGGAGAAATGACAGGCAAAGAGCATGACTTTTTTTTTTATTCATTTGACAGAGAGAGATCACAAGTAGGCAGAGAGGCAGTCAGAGAGAGAGAAGGGGGAAAGCAGGCTCCCCACTGAGCAGAGAGGCCAATGCGGGGCTCGATTCCAGGACCCTGAGATCTGACCTGAGCCGAAGGCAGAGGCTTAACCCACTGAGCCACCCAGGCATCCCAAGAGCATGACTTTTAAAAGCGCCTGGGCAATAGTACTAATTTTTATATATTTTTTTAAGATTTTATTTATTTATTTGACAGATAGAGACCACAAGTAGGCATCGAGGCAGGCAGAGAGAGAGAGGAGGAAGCAGGCTCCCCGCTGAGCAGAGAGCCCGATGCGGGGCTTGAACCCAGGACTCTGGGACCATGACCTGAGCCGAAGGCAGAGGCTTTAACTCACTGAGCCACCCAGGCACCCCAATAGTACTAATTTTTAAAGGATATTTATGTAGGAGTGAAAGTCTAAAAATATCCATGGAAACAATAAGCACCAAATTCATGGTAAGAGTTACCTTGTAGCAGATCCTAAAGGGGCCTACAGAGAGTGAGGTAAGTAAATCTCTGATGTTTTAAAGCTGGTAGGCAGTATATGGGCGTGGGGGGCAATAATAGTGCCATTAAGTACATTCTCAATGTCATGTGACCATCCCACTGTCTAGTTTCAGAACTTTGTCATCTTCCCCAACAGAAATCTAGGTCTGTTAAGCTGTCACTCCCCATGTCCTTCTCCTTCCAGCTCCTGACAACCAATAATCAGCTTTGCCTACGACAAACATTTCATGTCAGCTGAGTCATATAATATAGGTAACCTCTTATGACCAGCTTCTTTCACTTACCGTGTTTTCCAGAATCATCTGTGTTGTGGCATGGATCCTGACATCATTCCTTTTGCTGGTTGAGTAATATTCCACTGTGTGGGTATACTACATTGTGCCCATTCATTTGTACGTGGATATATGGCTTCTTGCTACCTCTCAGCTATTGTGAATAGTGCTGTTAGGAACTTTCGTGTGTAAGTGTTTATTTGGAGGATTGTTTTCAGTTCTTCTGAGTGTATACCGGGTGGGGTTGGGGGGTTGTTATTTCATTATCTGTATTTTAAAAGCTTAACATTTTTTTTTCCAAAAAAAAGGAAGGAAAGAAGGAAGGAAGGAAGGAAGGAAGGCAGGCAGGCAGGCAGGAAGGAAATAAGGAAAATTCAGGAATGGAATGGTGGGAAATAAAATTTCAAGCAGAGGGAAGAGCATATTGGGGGATGGGGAGGGAGATCTTGTCTTGGGGGAGACTCCAGGCCTTGGATTGGGCCATCAAAGGCGGGAGTGTCGTAGAGAGAGGCCGGGAGCTGCACAAGCCGCTGTGCCGGCCTCTTAGTCCAGGCGGAATGGTGGACGCGTTCCTGGTGCACTGAGAAGCCATTGAAAAGGTTTTAAGCTGGAGAGTCACATGATCCGATTAGTGTTTTAGAGAAATTCCTGTGGGACCCGCGTGGAGGCTAGGCCGGATGCAGGGGAGACCTAGGCTGAGAGCAGGGAGGAGGCGGGGAGCGGGCCCAGGTGAGACCGGGTGCCTGGGCAGTGCAGGACTCCTCCGGGCGGGAGCCGTGGGCCCGAGCAGGGGGCGGGACCTAGCGCTGATTGGCTCCGGATTGCACTCCTGGGTGCCAGGCCCGGGGCTACTGCCTCCTCATTGGCTCTCCTTCCCCCCGCGCCCCTACTGCGGCCAGCCTCTCGAACGCAGAAATCGCATCCTGTGAACCTCCCATGGCTTCCCAGCCCTTCCTCCCGTGTTCCTGTAAGGCTCGATGGGTCTGGCCCCTGGAGCCTCCCTCCACTGGTGACTACCTCTCTCCTGCTTCACTCCGCTCCAGCCACACCACCCCCTCTCTGCTCTTGGTGGACTCAGGGCCTTTGAACGTGCCTTTCCCGCCTGCCTGGAGTGCCCTTCCGCCTAGATTTCCATCAAGTGTCCCTTCTACCCTACCCCGTCACTTTCTTCCAGACGTCCTCAGAGACAGCTCTCCTGCCCCCCCGCCCCCAGCTAAAACAGCCTCCCGTCTCCCTATAGTCCTCACTCTGCCTTAATTTTCCAACTGTACTTATCGCGAACAAGCCGGAGGCTCCTCGTGGATTACCCATTGATTGCCTCCCTCCCCTCCCCTGGCATATAAGTTCCTGAGCGCAGGGATCGGCTTCCCCGGTTTGCTTAAAGGCTCACCTGTCAGCACCCAGCTGCGCTCAGAAAAGTGGATGAGGAGTGAGTGAGGAGGGGTGAGGCTGGGGCTTCAGGAGAAGGTGACTGCCCTGAAGGGAGAAGGCTGAGGAGGTGGGGCCATGCGGAGCTCAGCTGAGCGTGCGGGTGGCTGGCTGGACAGGTCAGCGGCGAGAGTCAGCTCCTCCAGCAGACACGCGAGAGTCGTCAGCTTCAGCCCAGTAATTGGCGCCCTGGAGCGGCTGAGATCGCCCCCAGAGTGAAATCCTTCCCACCCCTTCGGAGCCTCCATGAGCACATCTATAAAATGGGGCCACAGTGAGATGAGTCAGGTCTGAGGTCCAGCCCTGCGCCAGGCCCTTGGGAGGCCGGCGGGAGATGGGTGAGTCCCTGTCGCTTTTGTCCCAGAAGAGAAAAGATTGGGTTGGAGGTGAGGTGGGCGGAACCTCAGCCTCCCGAGGTCCCTATTCATTAATCCCTAGCCTGCGGCCATCTCCATGACAACCCTGGCTCGCTTTCAGACCGTCGGTGCTGGGGCAGAGCAGGTCTCGAAGTGGGTGGTTCATGCCCCTGGGGCGGTGCCTGAATCGAAGGGGGCGGGTCTTGTTGCTCCAAGACAGTTTTTTTGGTTTTTGGTTTTTGCCCAGGGGTGAGTCTGTTTCCTGGTTTCTGGGTGGGAGAGCGGAGAGGAAGTTATCTCTAAGGTTGAGCGTCCCCAGGAGCTGACCTGGAGCCTTCAGATAGGCAACCGTGCATCTCCAGGCAAACATGTCTTCTTGTTTTCTCTCCCCCCAAATATATGTCTCCCTCCTCTAAATTCTTTTCTTGTGAAATAGAAGGCGCATAGGCTAGAAGGGCACGAAGACAGACGCACAGCTAATAAATAATTATCAAGAGATCTCCAGATTAAGAAACGGGATGTTAGCTGCCCCAGAGTCACAGAAGGCTTGGCAAGCCCCATTCCGAGCTTAACCTATCCAACCTCGAGAAGGTTTTCTTGCTTTTCTAGGTAGCACACTAGCCACAATACATCCTAAACACTATTATAGTTTAGTTTTGCTTATAAGCGGAATCAATGTGTTGGGCTTCGGGCGTTGGGCTTCTTTGTAACTTTCATTCACGGGACTGCGTGGATCTACACCCCGTTATTTCACGCTGTATAGTAACCCATAGCATAATATGCCACCATTTATTTATGTTTTTTGTTGACGGATGTCTTAGTCTGTTCCGGCTGCTCTAACAAAACACCACAGACTGGCAGCTTATGAGCAACAGAAATTTATCGCTCACAGTTCTCTGGAGGCCGGATGTCCAAGATCAAGGCACCTGCATGCTTGTCTTCTGGGGGAGGCGCTCTTCTGGGTTTACAGCCGGTGCTTCTTGCTGTGTCCTCACAGGGTGAGA